TCATTGTTCTCTATATTCATGCCATGTAACTTTGGCATGCGTTCCCACTGTGGGTGAAGTAACCTGCCCACTGTTTGACTCTGGTTTCAGGCATGTGATTTGCTTTAACTAATTAGATATTATCAGATATCATGCAAGCAGAGACTTGAAATGGTCTTGCACATTGGGAATTCCCTCTTGGGCCTCTGCCACCACCATGAAAACATTCCCATTCTAGCCTGCTGGAGAGAGCCACATGCAGGGGAGCCATGCTACCCTAGTTGCCATAGCTGAGGCTATCCTCGATCAGCACACATCCATTCAAGCACCAGACACTGGAGAAAGTCCACTTGTGGTCAGTAGAGCTGCCTAGCAGACGGCCAGCTGACCCAAAAAGCATAAGACATAAACGTCTATTGTATACCCTCTGAAGTTTTGCATGTGTTTGTTATACCATATTATTATAGCAATAGATAATTGATACAAATGTCCTACATGGCCTAGACCATGCATTCCTTACTAAATTTATTTCTTACTACTCTGTCCCTCTTTCATCACTCTCTACCGATATTGGCCTTCTGTTTTTATGATATGCCAATATCACTTCTGACTCAAGACTTTTCCCCTGCTATTCTCTTTGTCAGGAGCATCTTTCTCCTGTTATTTAAGCATTTATCACTCATTATCGTGAGGCTCAGCTCAAATATCATGGTTTCTAAGAGTGCTTCCTTGACCCCATGAGCTAAAGGAGCCCCCTTCCTGCTCATTCTTTCCCTATTCCTTTCACTCCTTTATTTTCCTCACTGGGCTTCTGTCTAAAATTATCTTGTTTACATGCTTATTGTCCATCTCCCCTAATGCCAATGAGGGAGATGGTATCAAGAACAGAGTATCAAGAACAGAGTCTGGAACATAGTAGCCTTTCAATAAACATGTAATACATGTATGAATTATTTTTTCATTAAGAGAACAGATGGTAGAAAGTATGATAGGTTCTAGAATATAATAGAGTATTTATTTGTTACCTATGTCTGCTGTGACAGATTACCACAAACTTGATGGCTTAAGGCAAAAGACGTTCATTTTTCGTTGTTCTGGAAACCAAAATCCCAAAATCAATGTGTGGACAGGGCTGTGCTTCCTCCAGAGGCTCTAGGGGAGAGCCCTTCCTTGCCTCTTCCAGCTTCGGGTGGCTGTTGGCATTCACTGTCTTGTGTTAGCATCCTCTACTCTGTCTTCAATGACCTTCTCTTCTTTGTGTCTGTTCCTAGTATTCCTCTGCCCCTCTCTTATAAGGATTCATGTGATGGCATTTAGGGCCCACCAGGATTATCTCCTTGTCTCAAGATCCTTAGTCACATCTGCTAAGACTCTTTTAAGGGTAACATTCAAAATGAATAAAGAAAACTACAGGACAATATCCCTGATGAACACAGATGCAAAACCCCTCAACAAAATACTAGCAGACCAAATCTAGCAGCACATCGAAAAGTTGCTTCACCATGATCAAGTAAGTTTCATTTCTGAGATGCAGGTTGGTTCAACATATGCAAATCAATAAATATGATTCACCACATACACAGAATTAAGAACAAAAACCATATGATCATCTCAATAGACACGGGAAAAGCTTTCAGTAAAATCAACATCCCTTCATGATAAAAACCCTCACAAAACTAGGCATTGAAGATACATACCTCAAAAAACAAGAGCCATATCTGACAAACCTACAGACAACATCATACTGAATGGACAATAACTGGAATCATTCCCCTTGAGACTGGAATAAGACAAGGATGCCCACTCTCACCACTCCTGTTCAAAATAGTACTGGAAGTCCTTGCCAGCACAATCAGGCAAGAGAAAGAAACAAAAGGTATGCAAATAGGAGAAAAAGTCAAACTGTCTTCACTGGTGATATAACTTGATACTTAGGAAACTAAAGACTCTGCCAGAAGGCTCCTGAAACTCATAAGCAGCTTCAGTAAAGTATGAGGATACAAAATTAACATACAGAAGTTTGTAGCATTTCTATACACCAGTAACATTCAAGCTGAAAGCTAAATCAAGAATGCAATTCCATTTACAATAGACACGGATACACACACATACCTAGGATACATATAACCAAAGAGGTAAAAGATCTCCTCAAGGAGAACTACAAAACACTGCTGAAAGAAATGCCAGATGACACAATGGAAAACTATTCTATGCTCATAGATTGGAAGAATCAATATCATTAAAATAGCCATACTGTCCAAAGCTATCTACAAGTCCAATGCTATTCCTATCAAGCTATCAATATCATTTTTCACAAAACTAGAAAAGAGTGTTCTAAAATTTATATGGAACAACAACAACAACAACAACAAAAAGCCCAAATAACCAAAGCAATCCTAAGCAAAAGAACAAAGCTGGAAGCATCAAATTACCTGACTTCAAACTATACTATAAGACTACAGTAACCAAAACAGCATGGTAGTGGTGCAAAAACAGAAACACATAGACCAATGGAACAGAACAGAGAGCCCAGAAATAAAGCTGCACACCTATAGCCACCTGACCTTCATCAAAGTTGACAAAAATAGGCAATGGGGAAACGACTCCTTATTCTATAAATGGTTCTGGGATAGCTGACTGGTCACATGCAAAAGAATGAAACCAGACCCCTATATTTCACCATATACAAAAATTAACCCAAGAGGTATTAAAGCGTAAGACCCCAAATTATAAGAATTCTAGAAGAAAACCTAGGAAACATCATTCTGGAGATTGACCTTAGGAGAGAACATATTATTAAGTCCTCAAAAGCAATTGCAGCAAAACCAAAAATTGATAAGTGTGACCTGCTTAAACTAAAGAGCTTCTGCACAGCAAAATAAACTATCAACAGAATAAACAGACAGCCTACAAAATGGGAGAAAATATTCACAAACTATGCATCCAACAAAGCTCTAACATCCAGAATATATAAGAAACTTAAAACAGTTGAACAAGCAAAAAACAGCGCCATTAAAAAGTGGACAAAATACATGAACAGACACTTCACAAAAGAAGACATACAAGCAGCCAACAAACATTTAAAAATGCTCAACATCACTAGAGAAATACAAATCAAAACCACAATGACATGCCATCTTATACCAGTTAAAATGGGTATTATTAAAAAGTCAAAAACCAACAGATGCCGGCAAGGCTGTAGAGAAAAGGGAACGCTTATACACTGTTGGTGGGAATGCAAATTAGTTTAGCCCCTGTGGAAAGCAGTTTGCAGATTTCTCAAAGAACTTGGAACAGAACTACCATTTGACCTAGCAATCCTATTACTGGGTATGTATCCAAAAGAAAATAAGTTGTTCTACTAAAAAGACTATGTACTCATGTGCTCATCACAATGCTATTCATAATAGTAAAGACATGGAATCCTCTAGGTGCCCATCAATAGCAGACTGGAAAAAGAAAATATGGTATTATACACCATGAAATACTATGCACCCATAAAAAAAAACAAAATTATGTCCTTTTTAGCAACATGGATACAGCTGGAAGCCATTATCCTAAGCAAATTAACACAGGAACAAACCCAAATACCACATGTTCTCACTTATAAGTGGGGGCAAAACAGGTACTTGTGGACATAAAGGTGCTAACAGTAGACTCTGGGGACTACTAGAGGAGGGAGCAAGGGAGGCAGGGGGTAGGGGCTGAAAAATTGTTGGGTGCTATGCTCAGTACTTGAGTGACTCAACTAATAAATATGCACACGTATGCCCTAAATCTAAAAAGTTGAAATTATAAAAATAATAAAATATTTTTTAAAAGGTAGCATTCACAGCTTCCTGGGATTCAGTGTGAATACTTTTGGGGGCCATTTTTTGGCCTGCCAGAAGTATAAACATTATCAACTCTAGTATGTGACAGGCAAAACAGTATTATATGCTATATATCATGCTGTTTAAGCTCTCTGTGCCTACTTCCTTTCCTGCAAAGCGCAGATACCAATAGTACCTATTTCCAAAGGTTGTTATGAGGATTGATATGTTAGTACCCAGTAGTTTCTATGACATTAGGATTCAATAAATATCATTACACTTGTTAAGCAATGTCTACTGAGCATTTTCTATGTGCCAAGCTTTGTCCCAAGCACATGTCATGCCTTAGCCAACTTAGTCCTCACAACAATCCTATGAGTACAGACTGTCACTTGCTCAAGGTCATATACCTAGTAAGTGGTGGTGAGATTGAAACCCAGACACTCTGTTCCAGAAGTCTGTGCTCTTAACCAATCCAGATATGGGCTTTCTAATGATGCTACTGTTGTTTTAAAATAATTGCTCTAGGCTGGGTGTGGTAGCTCACACCTGTAATCCCAAGACTTTGAGAGGCTTAGGCAGGAGAATTGCTTGAGTCCAAGAGTTTGAGACCAGCTTCAGCAACATGGTGAGACCCTGTCTCTACAAACAAAACAAAACAAAACAAACAAACAAAAAACCCAGATATGGTGTCACGTGCCTGTGGTCCCAGCTACTTAGGAAGCTGAGGCAGAAGGATCGCTTGAGCTCAGGAGGTGAAGACTGCGGTAAGGCATGATTGTGTCACTGCACTCCAGCCTGGGCAACAGAGCAAGACCCTATCTCAATTAATAATAATAATAGTAATTGCTTCAGGGCCAGGTGCAGGGTCTCATGCCCGTAGTCCCAGCACTTTGGGAGGCTGAGGCTGGAGGACCACTTCAGTCCAGGAGTTCAAGACCAGTCTGGGCAATAAAGTGAGACCCCATCTTTACAAAAAAAAATTTTTTAAATGGCAGGCCTACTGGTGTGCACCTGTGGTCCCAGCTACTTGGGAGGCTGATCTGGGAGGATCACCTGAGCCCAGGAGGTTGAGGTTGTAGTGAGCCATGATTACACTAATGCATTCCAGCCTTGGCGGCAGATCAAGACCCTGTCTCAAAAAAAATAAAATAATTGCTGTGAAATTTCTATTAATGTTTTTGGGAAAACCAGAGGTTTCTGTGTGACGTGAATCGCAGAGGAGAAATCATGAATCTTTATAGCCTTGTATTAACATGACTTCCTTTTGTTGATAGAGTGATTTATTAGTCTCAAGACCTTTGAAATGGCACAAGAATTGCTTGAACAGATTGTGGAGACATCCACCCTTCTTTGGAGATTTAAGTGAGTAGAACCAGTTAGTGTGCCTCTTCCTGTTTCTCACCTTGCTCAATGCAGAATGAACTTGGCGTATATCCACCAGAAGCACCTGCTTATCTACTGTTTGCTGTCATTGCAGGTATCTGTGAGATTAGCTGTTAATGAGTTGTATGTAATTTTATAACTAACTGAATTAAGAAAAACCTTAGTAAGATTCAGTATCTGCTTCAGGTCATTGAAATGTAAAATTGGAATGTAAGCTGAGGGCAGGGTATTTTTTTTCTGTTTTTTTCCATTTATTCCCGCACCACCTTTGCCATCCACTGCCAATAGTTTCTTTTAAATTTAGCATCCAGAGTAGACCTTTGACAGCGCAAATCAAATCACTTCATTTGTTCATTAAAAACCTTCAGCGGGTTTCACATTATTCTTAGGATTACATTTAACGTCCTTATGCAGTAATCTCCAAGCTTCTCCTTGATCTGGTACCCTCTTTCTATCTCTAATCTCTTCTTTAACACTCCTATACTTGCTTACTCAGCCCGAGGTACATTGGCATATTTGCTGTTGCCTGAACATGCAAATTCCTTGAACTTGCTGTTTCCTTGCCCGAAACTCTCTTTCTTCAGATATCTGCCTGGCCTTCCTCTTAACCTGCCAGTCTTGTCTCAAATGTCATCTTTTCAGTGAGGCCTTGCTTGACCAGCCCTTTCCCTCACTACATCCTGCTCTCCACCAATTGATTTTTACTTATCCATATAACTTTTATCCCCCATGTGCTACATATTTTACTTATTTCTTGGTTCATTGGCTGTCTCCATCCACCAAAATGTAAGCTCCATGAGGACAGGAATTTTATTAATATCAGTTTGTTCATTGCTATACCTCTAGTGCTTTAAACAGTATTTAGCACACAGTAAGCATTCAATAAATATGTATTGGGCTAGACACGGTGGCTCACGCCTGTAATCCCAGCACTTTGGGAGGCCGAGGCAGGTGGATCACCTGAGGTCAGGAGTTCAAGACCAGTCTGGCCAGCATGCGAAACCCCATCTCTACTAAAAAGACCAAAATCAGCCAGTCGTGGTGGCATGCGCATGTAGTCCCAGCTACTCATAGGCTGAGGCAGGAGGATCACTAGAATCACTAGAATCCAGGAGGCGGAGGTTGCAGTGAGTCATGATCAGGCCATTGCACTCCAGCCTGGGTGACAGAGCGAGACCCTGTCTTCAAAAAAAAGTATTGAATAATTGAATGAATGTTCTGCAATGTAACAGTCCAGTTAGCTATATAGCACTGCTTGGGATGCAATGTGGCCTGCTTGTCTCACACTATTTTGGAGATATTTCTATGGATTTATTTGTATTATTAGTGATTGAGTTTATAATCCTAACTTTTCATATTGTGTACTTCAAATGCTGTTAATTTTCTAGATAGCCAAGGATGGCTAAACTCTCTTCTGCCCTTCTTTAACTACAACTTAGAGAAGTGGCATTTCCATGCAAGCAACCTATTGACCATCTTTACTGAATATCTTTTATTTGTGTATATTTTGGGAGTAGTGGGGAAAAGGGACATTTTAATGGCAAAACCTAAGTTAGGGCCCCATTTTCTACTTGAAACTCTAGAAATTTTTAACTGAATTTTTAATAAAAATTAACAGAGGCTTTGTAGAAAAAGATGAGAATGGGGTAGCATAGAGTAGTTGCACTAGCCACATTTCAAATGCTCCAGTGCCACATGTGGTTAGTAGCTACCATATTGGACAGTGTAGATATAGAACATTTTCATCATTACAGAAAGTTCTATTATACAGCACTGCTCCAAGCAGTAGGAACTCTGAACATTGAGCTAGATAATAAGATATAATCATTTTATGTTTTGTATCCACAGTGGGGAAATGTAAGGAATTGTGTCTTGTAATTCTCTTATACTGTACCTTTATTTGCTCAGCAAATGTTTGTTTTGCCTCTAATAATATATACCAGGCACTCTACTAGGCACTGGGGATTCAGGGATAGACACGATAGCCTAAGGCCTTTCTATATGGAGCTTGTATTCTAATGGAAGAGCAGTCATTAAGTAGATAATCATACAAATAACTATAGTCTCTATAGTGCTGGTTGTATAGATGTTTAAATGACTGTTGATTAATTGACTAACGTGTACAGTCCCATCATCTTCTTAGATACTGACAAATCATAGGAACAAAAAGTTAGGTAGTAATTTATAGTTAAGGTCTGCAGGCAACATTAAAATTTCAGTGCAGTCAATAAATTTAGTTCTGTTCAGACTGTTTTTGGTATTTTTCTTATTTTTGACATAGAGCAAGGATTATGTCAGTTGCCCTGTGGTTTAAAGCCACAGTTATTCGAGAAGCACAGTTGCCATCATTGAGTAGTAGCTGATCCAAAAGAATTCCAGCCAAGGTCTTGCCAATGATGGAAAGAAATGATGTGTCCTGTAAGTTGCCAAAAATTATGTTTTTCTTGTTGATGACAATCTTTTTGTCTTTAAGTTCTTCATACGTTGTGACATGAGCACATATGAATGTTCCCTAAAAAGCAACGATCAGGCTGTCAAATTCATTTAAGCAGTAGTTATCTCTGTATAATCTGAAGTTATGTAGATGCCTAATAAGTGTTTTCATGTTGTTGCTACTGATGTTGCTGATGACAGTCTATAGAAAGTTGCAGAAGATAAACCATGAAGATTGGCACTTTACCATTATTATTTTGATTTTGTTTCTCTTTTCACATCATCAAGTCTTGCTTATGCTGTTAAGCCCTAGCAGTTCTTTAACATGGAAGGGGATATGACATATAATTTCCACCTTTGAGAATGGAGCTTGCAGGACTGGACATTGCTCTCAGTGTCAGTGAGTGAGTGGTGAGTAAATATGAAGGCCTAGGACATTATACTACTGTAGAGTTAAGAAGTGGTACATTTAGGTTATGCTAAATTTATTTTTAAACATTTTCTTTCTTCAGTAATAAATTAACTCTAGCTTACTGTTTTTATTTTATGAATTAAAATTTTTAACATTTTTTGTAATAACAGCTTAAAACACAAACACATTGTTCAGCTATACAAAAATATTTTCTTTCTTAATAACCTTATTCTGTAAGCTTTTTTACATTTTAAAATTTTTTATTTTTTTACTTTTTATACTTTTTTGTTCAAAAACTGTGACATAAACATACACATTAGCCTAGGCCTACACAGGGTCAGGATCATTAATATCACTGTCTTCTAACTGCACGTCTTGTCTCACTGCAGGATCTTCAGGGGCAATAACACTCGTGGAGCTGTCATTTCCTATAATATCAATGCCTTCTGTAATACCTCTTGATGGACCTGCCTGAGACTATTTACAGTTAACTTTTTTTTGGAGGTAGAAGGAGTATACTCTAAAATAATGATTAAAAGTATAGTAAACACATACCATCGGTAAGATAATCATTTATTATCATGATCAAATATGTAATGTACATAACCATATGCACTGTACTTTTATATGACTGGCACTGCGGTGGATTTGTTTACATCAGTATCACCACAAACATGTGAGTCATGCATTGCATGATGACATCACTAGGCAATAGGAATTTTCCAGCTTCATTATAATCTTATGGGACCACCACCATATCTGCAGTTTGTCATTGACTGAAATGTCATTATGCAACACATGACTATATATTTGTACATGGAAAAAAGCTTTTAATATATTATTTAAATAATTTTTTAATATATTATTTAAAGAAAAATACAAAACCATTTTAAGATACATTTAAAAAACACCAAGCATATATTTCTTTCTGGTAGTGTGTATGTTTGTGTGTCTCAAAGACTATACAATCAATCCTACCTATCACAGGACATCGGTTCTGGGACACCAAACCAAAATCCAGAGATACTCATGTCCCTTGTATAAAATGGTGTCATATTTGCATATAACCTATGCACATTCTCTGAGATACTTTAAATCAACTCTAGATGAATTACAACATCTAATACAATATAAATGCTATGTCAATAGTTGTTATATGTGATTTTTAAAATGTTGTTTTTTATTATTGTGTTATTTTTATTGTTTTGTTTTAGAGTATTTTCCATTCACAGTTGGTTGAATCTGTGGATGCAGACACACAGATAGTGAGAACCAAGTATATGCTAAAATATCAGTAGTGTTATTTCTGAGTAGTAGGATTATAGGTAGTTAAAATACATGTATTTACTTTTCTTTGTGCCTGTCTGTATTCTGAGTTTTCTAAATTAAGCCTTGTTATAAAAAAAGAACTAAAAATAAGTGATCTCTATTATTGATTATATCAGAATTCATATAGGAAATATGCTTTGATGCAGGAATTGTTGTTAAAAATTGATTTATAACTCATTTTGTTTTCTTAGTTATTTATTTTTAAGAGATCGGGTCTCACTGTGTTGCCCAGGCTAGAGTTGCCTATTCACAGGCATGATCCCACTACTGATCAGAATGGGAGTTTTGATCTCCATTTCCAACCTGGGTGGTTCACTCCTCCTTAGGCAACCTGGTGGTCTCCTATTCCTGGGAGGTCACCTTGTTGATGCCTAACTTAGTGTGGACAACCCATTTGTATATAGCACATTACAGCCCAGAACTCCTGGGCTCAATTGATCCTCCTGCCTCGGTCTTCCTAGTAGATGAAACTACAGATGTGTGCCAGTGTCCCTGGCTTACATAACTTATTTTATCCCTGGCCATCCAGTACTGACTCCTGGTGATTCCACAGCTCCAGACTGACACTTCTTCCCCCTGTACCAATGCATAATTTGATCAGTTTTCTTGATTTTCAGTATTCCTGTTGTGTGTGACTAGCAGTTTCCCTTTTGCCATGACCTTAAAACTCCCCACACATGATGATCGCCCTATGGTCAGTTTTGTTTGAATATGTTCCAACGTATAGAGTAGTTGTGGGTAGTTTTGAATGTTCACGATAATATTTACAAAGAATTGAATAAATATTTTTTATTTCCAAATATTGGTGGTGGTGGTGATTAAGAATCTGAATCGGATGAACCAGCCTTGCCTTTAGAGAAATGTCCAAGTTACATTTGGTTTATGGGGGCTCTATATTGGGAGAAGTGAAGAGGCCTAGGACCCAGGATTTCCAAGATAAGGTTGTTCAGCAGGGCTCATAGAGAACATCATTTAGAATTTGGCTTGCTCCCAAATGATTCCCTTTATATTTCTTAACAGAGAGGCTCTGACTGTATCAGTATGGTGTTTCTTTATTAAGCAAAAGCTCATGCCAAGCGACCTCAGGTGCATTTGACTTCATATGTAGCCACAGTGTGAATGTCTGTGTGATTAACTTACCCATCACAGTGGTGAAGAATGAGATGGTGGTAGTGATGCTGTGATTATATTACGTCATTCATCCTTGATTTTTGGTGATTCGTCTTCCTTGAAACTTTCTATTGACGTGGACCATCAATATGGAAATCTGAAGCTTCCATTGATGGAGGTGGTCTCTGAACTAGCATCCACCCAAGCCAGGAATAGACTGCAATAAACTTATTGAGAATAACAGTCCTTAATTATATGTCTAATCCATGGCTTTCACTGTCTTTACCACACCAAATGGCACTGCCAAGTCTTATTTCTCCTACTTCCTCTGCTTCTCACCCAACCTCTTTTCTTCATGGAATTCCATTTTCCATTCCATTTCCATTCAATGAATCTTCCAAGCCTAAAGGTTTAAATCTGGTGATGTCCCTCTCTTTCATGCAGTTTCATTTCTAAAATGACATTGAGGATATTGCCATGGTTGTTTCATACTTAGTTGTTATTGTTATGATAGGTAATATATAATTCTGAACTAAAATTGCTGGCTATTTTTTGTCATTGTGACAACAGGTTTTAGAAACATAGCACTCCAATTTTGCTCCTGAATGTTTTGATTAAATGGGAGGAACTAGAAGAATACAATTTAAGAGCAGGCTTCAGCAATAATTTTTAAAAATAGATTCAGAGTCGATCATCTTACTACATTTCTATCTAGGCTTATCTCCCTTCATGCAGTTAGTTACAACACTTGGAAGGCTGTTTCCAAGACTGGCACCAAAGAGGTCAGTTTTTCCACTCTCTCTCCCAGAAAAGATCAGAAAGTGCAGTAAGGTTCATGAAAATTTAAGCTTGAAGTTTAGAAAACTCAAAACAACCCAAACCCTCAAACATTCAGTTTGGTTTGAATCTTGGACAAAGGTTTTCTATGCAGCTAGTGGAGTTATTTCAATTTAACGGCTGTAGTAACTTCATTTCAGGGCTAGTGATGGGGAAATTATGAAACCATAACTTGGATCTTATTTTAACAAAACCAAGAAATAAAAACACTTACTGGGGAATCTGCATGGGAAAGGGGACCTACCTAACCCCAATTGCTGCTATTTTACTATGGCAGCTCCTCTTACTATAGGAATTATGAAACCATTCTTTCCAATTCCTTTGGAGAGAGCTGACTTTTGAAACTGATTGAGTGGCCTGCATCCAATTTATAAGCCTCCTGATGTGCACAACAGGGAAGATCTTTCATAGGTGATTAAATCCAGTAGAGTTAAGGCCTGTCATTGTGATTTCCCTCCTGGCCAGCTTTCATTTCAAAAGTCATCCCAGGAGAACCACTGTAGTTCTTTACCTAGTTGACTTCTGAAACAAAATTTTCCACTTCAAAGACAGCCCAATAATTTAGACCCTCTCCTCCTTGGATACAACTTATTTGTTCCAAGGATAAGAATTTAATTTAATGACTATTTACTGAGTGGTTTCATTATATCTGGCATAGGATAATATATTCCAGGCAGAGGTATACAACATAGGGGGAAAAATTTCCTCAAAGATCTTTTGGACCAGTTCTATAATCAACAATGAAAACATCTTAGAACAAAAACAAATTCAAAAAGGATTTATTCTGAAATAATTTAGAAAACCTCAGTTGATTTTTAAACATACCCAATAGAGGATGTCACCTCATTTACAGTTGATCACTTATCAAATACTGCAGAGCAAAATGAGGTCGAGCCTCAGGCTCTGCAGATGTGGAGCACAGCCTCAAGGGGCAAAACATCAGCAGCCTGCTGAATTTCTGAAGCACACAATCTCAGAGGATTTCAGAACTATTTGGAGCCTCAGAGCATCCAAAAATACTGAAAATTTAATAAAGTTCATGTTTTCTTATTTAGGTAGAGACGGATTTGCCAGATAATAGAAGTGACTTAACTAACAAGGTTCCAGTTAATAAGTACCATAAATATTCCCCCAAAGTATCTATATTCTTATCAAACTAGCTTGTTCTCTTAATTGAGGATATACTTAGTTAGTGATTTTAGTTGGATTATATTAAGCATTCACCACCCTTTTAAGTGATTATTTCTGCTATTATATGGAATTATGTTATTATGAAATTTGAATTAACTCACATGAAATTTGAATCACAAGCCAGTGAAATGTGGTTAATGACATTTGTTACAACTTGAAATTTTCCTTTTTTTTTTTTTGCATCTCTTTTAAAATAAAATATTGTTTTAATATTATGTTTTGATGATGTCAGTATCTAATTTCTTTCCTTCTTTATGTACTTTAGAACTACAGGGAGCAAATCTGTTTCTTAGAATAGAAATCCATCTAGTAAACATTTCAAAATTTGGAGATCTCCTAGAACTATTTTCTGAACTAATAATGATGCAATAATGATTACAGTTAATAGTGGAACTATAGGAGTATCATATACTTTAATAACTTGAAATTTTAAAATTTGATTCTGAATATTTATCAAAACTATTAATGGGCAACCAATACACACTGTGTAGAGTTCTGTACTTAGGGAGTGAACCAATGGTTGAGGAAATGAAACAAATCTGAATGTTAAATGTCTATTAAGTGGTAGGGACAGTCAATTCCAAACAAGGAAGTAATCATTTCCAGATGGGGATGGTCTGAGTGCTCATGGAGGAGGTGAAATTAGTGTTCTCCTTTGAAAGGCATATGCATTTAGAGACTAGCGAGCACGTGTTTCAGAGGTGAGAAATGGATGCATCAGAGGCTGGAAAATGCAGCCGTGTGTGTAAAGGACAATGAGAAGACCTCTTTGCTGGGCTTAAACACAGAGTTGATGTAGGAGAGTAGTGGGTGTTAGAGCTTAAAAGGTAGGATAAAGCCAGATTTTGGAAGACTGTAGACTTTTTACCATAGATGCAAGGAGCTGTTTTAAGTTTTTGAGATGAGGATTGAAATAGTGAAGTAGTGTTGTAGGAAGATAATGTATGTAGTAACAGGATAAGTGGAAAAGAAAATGGTGGAAGATACGACAAATCATTAGAAAATTTTTGTACTTGCCTAAAAAAAGATGATAAAAAAATC